ACAAGAAAAATTTTTAAGTTGCCGAAGTGGTCAAAAAGTCATTGTTTCCAAAATGAAAACAATATTTATTTTTTTAAAAGAGGAAGCAAGTTAGATTATGTTGTTATATTAAAGCATTTAGGTTCAACAAAGTAAAATAATCTTTTACAATCTCTAAAAACCAGTATTCTCTAGCTTTTAAATCAGTAACTGGGGAATAGGAAACATTATTTCATACACTCTTCAGGCCCTCCAACACTGATATATGGCTTTTGATAGAGATAAGTAAGTCACTCTGGGCCATGTAAACTATACACACACCAGTAGCTATTTTAAGATGCCCTTGAGAGATAAGAGGCTGATGCCCTAAAGGTTCAACTCATTGATTTTATCAACCCCAACACCAAATTTCTGATTATCTGTCAAATTCAACTCATCCCACACTCCTGTTCTAGCTCATAATAACAATATATCATTACTAAAATCAGAGCTGCAACTGCAAACAAAACACTCCACCCAAATAAGACTTTTCCGGCTCCTGGGGCCTGGCATACACTCTTGTTCTGTCCCCAGTGAAAACTGCCCTTAAGGTCTCTATAAAGTAGAGATTACACCAGGATTATGCCACATACTTGCAACACTGAATAAATTAATGTACTGGATTAACTGAACAATGAATAAATTCATTGCCTGAGCACCTAGAGACGCAAAGATTAGTGGTCATACAAGGCTAATTATGCTACTCTTCCCACTGGTCAAATTTGATGCTGAGCATTCACTCAACATTTGCTGAGCTGTAACTGCCAGGCACTAAGGATAGAAACACAAGCCCTCAAAGGAGGACAGGGCTGTGAGGTGGCCAGACATGGTCGCAAAAACAACACAGAGTTATTGCCAAGACGCTACGAATGCACAGAAGAAAAGGTTCCAATGGCCTGTTTGTTTGCTTCTTTGTTTGAGGGGAGTGTGAGGGTTCTAGGAAGATTTTACACAGGTGGACACAAATGAGTTCAAGCCTGAGAAAAGGATGAAGAAGCATTTGCCAAGCAGGAAGCAAAGAAAAAATATCTTAGAACTGAGCTTTAAAGCAACCAGGTGTTTCAGTAAAGCCACTTCATTTTAACGTTGAGAAAATTCACAAGATGATATTAGCATGTTTAATCAAGAGGCACACAGTTGCTGAGTGGCAGAGTTGAGACCAGAGCCCAGGTCCCCATGTTTTTATCCACTTTACCCTGCTATTTAACAATCGTTCGAGTTTACATTCTTTTACAAAATAGATCATTTCAAAGTAAGATTTTTTTATAGTCCCATATTGCTGAACTCAAAGTAGGACATGTATGGATTCTAAAGACAAGCTAAATTCCCTGGTTTTACATCGTATATTACCTTCACATTTATCAATATGGTTTTTTAAATACTAGCATCAAAAGAGCTATCACCCCTGTCTATGTTATTTTTTATTTATTTATTTATTTTTGTGGTACACGGGCCTCTCACTGTTGTGGCCTCTCCTGTTGCGGAGCAACAGGCGCCGGACGCGCAGGCTCAGCGGCCATGGCTCACGGGCCCAGCCGCTCCTCGGCATGTGGGATCTTCCCGGACCGGGGCACAAACCCGTGTCCCCTGCATCGGCAGGCGGACTCTCAACCACTGCGCCACCAGGGAAGCCCGTCTATGTTATTTTTATAAGAATTATTCCTATTATTAGTATAAAGCAAAAATTCTTTAGTTACCTAATACGCCATATTAGTAATGGTAGGGAAAACAGGCACTCTGAAACGTATAGAACCAGTGGAAGCATATAACTTGGTACAACTTTTGTGAACCACAAAATATGGACATAGTAAATGACATGCCAGGCAGACCTCAGAGATACTGCAGGTTCAACTGCAGACCGCCACAATAAAGCAAATATCAACAAATCGAGTCACATGAATTTTCTGTTTCCCAGTGCATATAGACGTTATATTTACACTATACCGTAGTCTATTAAGTGTGCAATAGCATTATGTCTAAAAAAAACAATGTACATACCTTAATTTTAAAATAATTCATTGCTAAAACTAATAATAATAATAAAGAATAAAAAAATACTTTATTGCTAAAAAATGCTAACCGTCATCTGAACCTTCAGCAAGTCACAGCAGTAATTCAAAGATCACTGATCACAAATCACAATAACAAATATAGAAATAATGAAAAAGTTTGAAATATTGTGAGAATTACCAAAACGTGACAGAGACAAGAAGCAAGCAAATGCCATTGGAAAAATGATGCCGAAAGACTTGCTCAGCACATGGTTGCCACAAACCTTCAGTCTGTAAAAAATGCAATGTCTGTGAAGTACAATGAAGCGAAGCATAATAAAACTTACAAGATTGATTATTCCCTGTAGCACTGTTAGTAACAGCAAAAGACTGGAAGCAACCTAAATATTCATGGATTAAAAAGTGGTTAAATAAATTGAGGTACATCAGTAAAGCAAGGTACGATGAACTATTATGCATTCCTGATAAAGAATAAAGGAGCTCTACACACACTGACAGGGATCTCACTCTCCAAAACCTCAGAAACTTACTCTCTGAACCTCAGTGACTCTCAAGTATTAGTACCCTGTGCAGCCCATCCTGGGCAAGTAACAGGTTACCTTTGTACTACTGATAATTGATCAAGCAAATTTATGCCACAGAATGTAGCCAAGTGGCCTTCCAAAACTGCCAATTAGACTGAGCTTGATAACGCAGTACTATAGTGCCCTCTAACTTTAAAACATTTTACAGTAATATTCTAATTGTAAGAATGAAATGTAGTCGTATAGTGCTTACAAAATTAAGTACAAGAAAAAATTCTACACAAGCAGAAACTGCAATATGACAAATAACTAGCAAATCACAATTCTATCAGTCAAATTAATGACTCACGGGATGGCAAAGCATACGTGTAAAACATATTATAAAATTTCCAATTCACATTTCATAGATAACTTTTATAAGCAAGACAAGTAATTATTTTATCCTTATAATTTGAATTGAAATGGTTCGCTTTCTGTTTTAGAATATTTAATATTATTTTAATAATAGGAAAACAGTATTCATAAAACAATCTTTTTTGAGATGAGTTCTTTGTCGATCTAATGAAATCTCTGGTACACCCTGCACCCCAAAGACCACCAAGACTTCATGTTAAAAAACGAGATCAAACTCGGATTTCTACTAGAAAAGCTTTCACTATCCAACAGAGAGTAAATATTTATAAACATTCATTTGCTATACATTTCATTCAGCAAGTGATGCTTAGTATGTATGAGATACTGGGCAAGGTACTAACAGCACAATAATGAAAACAGACATGCTCCTCTGCCCTCTCAGAACACAATACTGGGGTGGGGAATGTGGGGAAGGGGAACAGCTAAACCAGAAATTACACAATGAACTACCATGAAGTACTGGGTGTTACAGTAGCACAGATGAGGGGCTCCCAAACCTGACTTGGGGAACAAGGTATCAGAGAATGTTTCCCAAAACAAATGATGTCTAAGTGGCAGCCTAAATGTTAAGTTCACACTGACCGAAAAAATAAGAGCGCAGAAGAAAAGGAACAATGTTTCAGACAGTTAAGTAAACATGGCAAAAGCCAAGATGTGAGATAGTACCTAAAATGTTCAAGGAACTGAAATAAGTTCAGTATGCAGGAGCAGAAAGGTAAGACATCAGGCTGAAGAAATAAGTAGGAGTCAGAAAGTGAAAGGCTTCCTAAATCATATTAAGAAATTTCGAATTTATTCTAATAGGAATATGATAATCAGAGCTGTACTTTAGAAGCAGTCACTCTGACTGAAACGCAAGATTCTAGTTAGATGTGTTAAGACTAGAGGCAGAGCACCAACTAAGATGAGCATTTTAGTAAAACACTTGAGATGATGTGGCCTGGACTGGGTGGTGGCCAAGTGGACAGGAGCCAAGAGAGAAATAGAACATAACTAGGATTCAGCAGTAAATCGAACGTGGGGATTCAGAGAGAGGGGAGAGTCAAGAATTAGTAAGCAAATCATTCAAAGCTACAATGCGCAGATCTCAGGTTTCATCTATGGTTTACATACAATGCCTAGCACTAAATATATTTATTAAATGAATAAAGGTTCTGTATTTAATGGCAAAAAGATGACGAAAACGATTTACACTAACAACAGGAAAAAGATATATTTGGCTATGATAAACACAGCTCTGACTATACTTAAAAAAACAAAACAAAAAAAACACAAGGTAAGTGAGGAGAATATCCAAATAGCAACCCAGCACTTGCTAGAAACTGTAGATATTTCAGAATTGCTGGAGCACTTCCTAATTGTGGTGTGGACCCTGGTGATCTACTGCTGAGTGACTTTTCTGCACATCTTGTAACTTCTACACCACAACTAAAATGTGATCTGGTCCTGGAATAAAGATAGTACCTGACCTTCAAGCACTGGAAACTTTACTGAGGCAGGGAGGGGCAGAGTAGGATCAAGAAGCCAAGTGCTTCCTTAAATAAAATATTTCCTGCAACTTGCCCCAGATTTTACAGCTGGGATGATGTTCATCTGTAGAGGGTTTATCAACAAAATGCTGACTTCAGTTGTTTATATTAGCAAGTATTAGAAACTGGTAGGCAAATACCACTTCAAAGATAATAATTTTCAAAAAAGTTCCAGAAAAAAATTAGAATATACACGTTTATAATATAAAAGTCACCAAATACTGAGGTTAACAGAATAAGGTTTTACATAAAAGAAATATTGCATGGTAATAAACAGAATTAAAGTCGGAAATACATTTAATTCAAAAATGTCCACAGTTTATGTCAAATTTTCAAATTAATCTATTCCAAAGATAAGACATTTGATCAATATTCATCTCTAAAATATTTATATATTTACATCATAATCAAATGAACAAGCCTCCAAAGGTATAATATACAAGCTAATTCCAACCAGTCAGAAAATCCCAAAGAAGCTAAAACCAATACCATAAGTTCTTTACCTGCAGCTCCTTTGAGACTCTTTCTAAGTGATTAGTTATCTTTTTAATCAGATCACTATACATCTGTTCCGAGTGCTGCTGGCATACACATTTATACACACAACTGTGGGGAGGAGGGGAGACAGAAAAACCAAGTTAATGATTTTAAGGTTGAAGCACTTAATTCAACCTAAGGTTAAGGCATACCCTCAATATGTAACCACTGGTCAAATAATTAATTCAGGCCTCAAAAAGTGACTCATTGCAACTCTTAAAACAAAAAGTTATCCTGCCCCAATCAGTGTTCATATGGAAGGGACATTATCACCAGCTACAAATAATCTTTTTGAGTATTCTATTAAATGTTTTATCAGTATTAGATAATCTAATATTGGGTGATTATCTGAGAGTCTGACTATGATAACTACTTATAAGCCAGTTTCTCTCTCGTTTTAATGAATGTCAAAATAAGGAAGAGAGTGACAATCAGCAGGTTTCTAACTAACAAAAACGTTTGCTGTGTAACCTCTTTGTGCATCACTTGTGCAGAACAGCACAGTTGTCACTTCCTCCTCTTGTGACTGGGCTGATCTCACAACCCACCCCAGTCCTCACTGATTTGCTACTTCCATTTACCAGGAGCTGGGAAACAAAATAACCAAAGATAGTTAAACTTGTGTGCCACAAACATCAACAGATTAAGCTAACATCTCCCTGTGATACTAAAACTACATATTTTTTGTCTTTTTCCACTGACCTCTATAATTTCTGCATTATGTATGGTGGGCGTGGCAGGCTGAGGTAGGATTAACACTATCTTCATTTGAAAACCAATTCTGAAGCAAAAAGTATAAATCAAACCCCCAATCCACAAGTACGGAACATATAAATAACTTACAGAGCCTTCATGTAGGTATCATATATTATATGCATACAAACTGTCATAATTCAAGTTGCTGTAAACTTCACTATACCCTCTAAAACCCAAGCAAATTAAATCTTGACTTACCTGTATATCTGTTCATAGGATATGGGGATATAGTCACCAGGACTCTGAGTTAAAAGCTGATCTATGGCACCATCCAATTTTGGCCAGTATGTGCTCTTATAATCTTCAATAGTTATAACATTCATTACTAAAAGTAAAAAGTGAAATTAATATTACCATGTGCCACACGTAAAATCAACACAAATCAGTTCTGCGTTCTCGAACTCCTCCCACTGACTCTCCGATTTTACACTGACACTGTGTCACCTAAATACAACTCAATCATTATCCCATTTCCAATTTCAAAAATCCCAACCTGGCCAGGGATTTTAAGCAGCCATTAATTATGATTTAAAAAAGAATTACTATGAATCTGTTCATCTTTAAAAATAAAAACAAAACAGCAATTATCTCTGGTTCCCTTTCCCGCTTTCCGTTATCAGTGGAGAGTTCTTAACATGCACTGACCCTCAAATACACATTGCCAACGATGTGACAAGATGGCCTATGCACGAACCACGATAAAGTTCTGGGAAACTATGACCTCCAATCCATCTTTACAGACAGCTCTGGGAAATCTACCTAGGGAAAGGACTATGGAAATTAAATTCCAAATGCTACAGTGCTAAAAACTCACAGAGATTTATCGCACCACCAGTACCTCCTGGACATGACTACAGCTCTGACTCAGGCTCTCCCTAGCCTATCCTTTAGAAAAGCCCAACAGAAAAAAAAATGTGGATGAACTGGAGCTTTACATTGAAGGCGTACCTCATTCTTAATGGCTGGCTCTTATTCCTTCATGATAGATTTAATAAAGCATTTGTAACAGGTTGTCCTAACAACTGTGAAATCCAGGGGTGATGGGTGCTTCACAACAATGAAATGCTAATGTTAAAAAGAGCTACCCAAAGCACCTAAGATACCCTGTGTCTTATGAACCATGGTAGGAGCTAACAACTACTGGATCAGCCATTTTACTGTTTATTTTTATCAGAAACTCAAGAGCAGAAGGTTGACTTCCCCAAGTGCACACAGCTAATCACTGGCAGAGGTACCAGGTAAAGCAAAGCCTTGACCTATCATCTTTCTATCACACTGATTTCCAAATTTTAGTCATTCAGGTTCAAGACGTGTCTCATGTCTATGTGCCACCTATATCATGTTTGTTCAATATTTTCTTTAAATCAGTTCACTTTTTTTTGCTTAAATATACTTAAAGGACACTTGAGGAGTGAACTATTGATTTACACAACACAGAATGATCTTTTTTTTTTTTTTTTTTTTTTTGCGATACGCAAGCATGTGGGATCTTCCTGGACCGGGGCACGAACCCGTGTCCCCTGCATCAGCATGCAGACTCTCAATCACTGCGCCGCCAGGGAAGCCCAACACAGAATAATCTTAAATGTATTCTGCTAAATCAAAGAATCAGACCAAAGAGGCTACATATGGTAAGACTCTCATTTATTTATAAAGGCATAACTATAGGGAGGAAAACAGATCAGTGATTGCCAGTGGGACTGGAAGGTGGAAAGAAGGACTGTCTGCAAAGGGGAAGCAGGAAGGAATTTTTAAGACAATGGACTCTTTTGTATGGAACCGCAGTAGTGGATACACCACTCCATGCATCTGTCAAAACCAACAGAACTATACACTATAAAAAGTACATTCACTGTATGGAAAAAAACACAAAATTTCACCCAGGATGTAGTGGTAAAGATGGAATGGCAAACTGTGGCAAATGAATCTAATTCACAAATGAATCACATAACCCACACTAAAAAAAAAATAGGGAAGAAAATGGAGAGGAAAGGAATGTTTTGACTACATATAAGACTAAAAACAGAAAGAACTGTACATGCGTGTGCACACACAGGCACACACACAAAAGGGAGAAGGAGGCCAGATGCTGGAGGGCCTTATGGGCAATGGAAAGACTTTGCCTTTCACTCTAAGATGAGGACATGTGGAAGGTTTTGAGCAGTGATGTAATCTGACTTTGATTTTCTATGGATCATTCCAGCTTCTGTACTAGCAATAAACTAAGTTAGAAGGCTGTGAGATGATGGGGGATTGGAGTAGGTGGCAGCAGTGAGGGCAAGAGGAGAGGTCAGATTTTGAATATATTTTAAGGTAGAGCCAACAAGATTTGCTGATGGTTTGGATGTGCGATGTGAGAGAAGGGTCAAGGATGACTCTAAAGTTTTTAGCCTTCAGCACCGAAGGATGGGGTTGCCGTTGACTAAGATGACGAGGATGTAGGAGAAGCTTAGCATGTCTGGGAGTGAAGCTGAAACTGTTGGTACCCCACCCATTTACAGTGATCCACAAAGGGCACTGTAAACACCTACCATTATTTGCCAGTGTTCTCTCTGGCTGCCGGGGTTGCTCTGCCTGAAGGAGAGGCCAGTTGGAAGTTCTAGAGAATTAACACCCCCAGGAGCCACCATCAAGTAATGACTAATGAGAACTCAGTGTAAGTACCCAGCGTCTCCCTTTACTCTGGGTGAGTATGCACTGACTCCCAAGTCCCCACTGGGGTTCCACTCCCGTCGCCGCAGTGTTGCCTTCTTCATGGCTTCCTTACCATCCCTGTCTCTGTCTCCACACTCCTGCAGGTGCTTCCTAGAATCACCCCCTTGTGCATAAAACTACTCGCACTTAAAACAAAATAAGAATTGATCAAAAACAGAAAAGTAGTGTCATGTGCAATACAGAAATAAACACAGTGTCGTGAAATTCTAGCTAGGCCCTGCTGCCTTTAAAGGTTCTGAGTGAAGCTTGCTTTCCCTGTGAATGAAGGAGATCGGCAGATGCTGAGAAGGGTTACACGCTAGCTCCAAAATACCCCCTTTCTGCTTTCAGAAGGATTTAAAAAAAAAAAAAAATTTTTTTTTAAGTAACTGAAAAACAAAGAACTTTCTCACTATGTGATTCTAGGTTACTGAACCTCCTATCAAGTGTTTATCACCTAAACCACATCATACACCTGCTCTACGCCAAACGCTGGGAATTAAGGAAGGTAAGTGACAAGCTCAGAAAGAAATCTTCAAGTACTGAATGCCAAGAATGAACACACCAACTCTATGGGTTCCTGGACCACTCGGTTCAATTAACTCCACCCTGCGCTGCGGCTGGGGAGACACCTGCTTCCCAAGCACACGTTTCACTTTGGCAAATCTCCAAGTCAAAGATGTGACAGAGGAAAAAGAACCTAAGATGTGAAGTCCCGCAGCTCTAAGGACAGAATGAAGTTCCACAGAAGCAATGACTTCTGATGCCTCTCAGGTCTTTCATGTGGCCTTAAAAAAAAAAAAACAAACTGCTCTGGTTTTAAATATCTTTGAAAACAGACTTTCAAACCAAAATGAAAAAGGCACAAGTCACAGTAGAAAATCTTAAATCCTAAAAGAAGCTATATTTCCACATATATTTTGCTTGAAAAACAACAGAAAACCAATTCACTTACATGCTAGCTATTACAGAGTGAATGTTTGTGTCCCCCCAAGACTCATGTGTTGAAACACTAACCCCCAATGTGATGGCATTAGGAGGTGGAGCCTTTGGGAGGTTTTTAGGTCATGGGGGTGGAGCCCTCACATGAATGGATTTAGAGTCTCTGGAGAACTCCCTCACCGCTTCTGCCATGTGAGGACCCAGTGAGAAGATGGCCTTCTATGAACCAGGAAGCAGGCTCTCTCACCAGACTCTGAATCTGCCAGCGCCTTGATCTTAGACTTCTCATCCTCCAAAAGCGTGAGATAAATAAGCCACCCAGTCTATGATAGTCTGGTACAGCAGCATGAACAGACTAAGACACTGGCTAACATGACTTTCTTCTCAGGAGCCACCCAATCTTCACCACAGTAGCAAAGGAAAGCAGAACACAGAGGAGCATCTGCAGAGCTACAGGGAGTTCGAAGAACGAGCACTAGTTGGTATTCATACACTTAGCCAAAGATCAGGAAGGTTTTTCATACCAATCTGTGGTCAACACTTAAAATGACAATCCAGAAAATGTTAAGATATTGAATTTCTTGCTAATCTCAATCCAATCTCTGACTTAAAACAAACAAAATATATCAGCTGTTTGGTTTATCCAACATTTGACATGCACAGCCTCAAAGTGTGTGTATGTGTGTGTGCGTGCGTGCAGTCCTGAATTCTAAAACTAGATCTTCTAGCTAGAGAAATGTAATCAATCGCTTTCAACTTTGCCCACAAAAAAGTTCAGACTAACCAAAAAAAATATGAAACATGGGACCTAAACAAAAATGAAATTACCATTAAATAACTACATTTTACCTAGGTTAGATTTTCCAGCTTGAAAAAAGTGCACTATTTTTTAAACTGTTTAAAGAAGGTATTCTAAACTCAAATGCCTACAAGGCCCAGGCCATTAACATGAGTGAGTAAAACAGGCCTGGTATAAGAATAAAAAAGAGCAGTGAGCATTTCAATGAGCTGGAGAATTCATATGCCCTCTAGAGACATTCAAGTTCACAAAATGTAAAAACCCTCAGGTTGCCCTCATAACATCACGCCACAAGGCTCAAACCTTGAAACTCTTAAGATAACAAGCTCACACAGCCTCAGTTCTATTGAGAAAGTACTACAACTGACCTTTACTAAAATAAAGTGAAATAAAATCTAAAACACATGGAATAGCTGGAATCTAAGGTTCAGGAAATACTATCAGATTGCTAATAAATGAGAAACTATTAGGGATATGTAATTCATACCAGGCAGGAATAAATATGTTCAACTCTCATACTTTGTTATCCAAGTAACTTATCAACACTTGACACATTATGTGTTTATTATCAATCTTCCTCAAACTACACATAAGCCCCTTGGAGAAGGAATTCAGCGCTAGAGCCCCAGCTCCAAACTATCATATGATAGGTATTCAATAATGTATGTGAAGTAAATTAATTTAATGGAAGTCAAAATAAACGTTTAATATAAAAAGTCCAAGGCATACTACTTATTAGTAGCTCTGGAATTAAAAATTGAAGTGCATTTGGTTTCACACAGGCTAAAGCAAACCAGGTAAGCCCTACCAGATATTCCTTTTGAGTTTTTTTTCTTGTTATTTGTTTGTAAGGGGAGGATATATTCAGAAACTATAGCAGGTATTATTAA